ACTTCACAACCAATACGCATGATTCTGCACAGCCCTAGCCAATCGGGACGATTAGCTAAGTGGGGCATAGAACTCAGCGAATATGACATCGAGTACAGACCCCGAGCAGCCATAAAAGCTCAGGTCCTCGCTGATTTTATCATCGAGCTATCGTCCGAACAACTAGACCCGAGAGCTGAAGCTCCGGAGTGGAGCCTGTATATTGACGGAGCCTCATCAAAGCAAGGTTCCGGAATCGGTCTAAGGCTGACCTCTTCAGCCGGAGAGACCATCGAACAATCCTACAGGCTCGGATTCAACGCTTCAAATAAAGAGGCTGAATATGAAGCACTAATCGCAGGGTTAAAACTTGCCCTAAGCCTCGGAACCCGAGAGCTAAACGCTTATAGTGACTCACAGTTAGTAGCTAGCCAATTCCACAGAGAATATGAAACAAGGGACGAAAGAATGGGGGCATACCTCCAAGTCGTCCAAAGCCTCACTAAGCAGTTCAACAAGTTTGAGCTGACAAGGATCCCACGAGGAGAAAACTCCTCGGCAGATGTGTTGGCTGCCTTAGCATCCACATCAGACCCCCTCGTAAAGCGGATTATACCTGTAGAGGGAATCGAAAACCCAAGTATCCATATAGCTACCAAAGCTGAAATCGATAGCAAACCGAAAGAGCAAACGAAAGCTAGCTGCTCTGAGACAGCAGCAACCCAAGTTCTCACAACATTCTGGTTCCCAACAACCAAAATTCGCAATTTCAAAAAGCATACCTCCGGGGGCACGACCCAGACCCCGGACTCGCATGTGTATACAACAGCCACTCCCTCTGACATTGGAAGTACCTCCGGGGGCACGACACAGACCTGAAGATACTCCACGGAATTCAGACTCCCTTGAGCCTAACCCAAGGAATATCTCCACGGGCACGACCTCTGGCCACAATAACACTCAGGAACCTGAGCCCGAACAGGAACCTCCGTTGTCTCTTCATGACAAAAACGTAGGAAGAGAAGACTGGAGAATACCAATTATGCAGTATATCTCAGAAGGTAAGGTCCCCCCCCCCCAAAAAAAAATTGGGAAGCTCGAAAACTCAAAGCGTTAAGCACAAAATACTGCATAATGGAATCCACCATTTATAAACGAAGCGTGTCGGGACCTTACTTAAGATGCGTCCATGGCCTCGATGCTATCAAACACATGAAGGAAATGCACGAGGGCACCTGTGGAAACCACGCCGATGGCAGAGCCTTAGCTATCCGAATCAAAAGACAGGGCTATTTCTGGCCTACCATTGTCACTGATTGTGAGGTCTACTCATCTTCATGCGAAACATACCATAGGCATGCACCAATTAGACATCAGCCTACGAAAAAACTATCCTCGATATCCACCCCATACTCGTTCATGAGATGGTCCATGGATATCATAGGACCGCTAGTAAAATCAGAAAGAGGAAAGCAAAAGCTACGCTTCCTTGTAGTCCTAACAGACTACTTCACCAAATGGATAGAAGCTGAAGCTCTCCAGCAGGTAACTAAAGTCGAAACCAAATATATCGTATGGAGAGACATCATCTGCCGTCACGGTGTCTCATACGAAATCATAACCGATAACGGGTCACAATTCATATCTAATGACTTCAAAGCATTTTTCGACAAGTGGAAAATTCGTCTCACTATGTCGACACCTCGATACCCTCAGAGAAACAGTCAGGCGGAGGCTGCTAATAAGTCGATAATAGCAAACCTCAAGAAACGTCTCAGAATCAGTAAAAGTTCTTGGTTTGAAAGACTACCTGAGGCGCTTTGGGCATGCCGAACCACCCCACGAAAGGCTACGGAAGAAACTCCTTTCTCCTTAGCCTACGGGATGGAGGCTGTCGTCCCAACCAAAACCATCATCGGGAGCCTCCGCCGGGAACTCTGTACATTTAACCCCAAATCCAATGATCAGCGCCTATTAGATAACCTCGATTTAATTGAGGAACGGCGAAACCAAGCCTTGCTTCGCATTCAAAACTACCAACAAGCAATGGCCCGACATTACAACTCAAAAGCCAGGTCCCGACATTACAACTCAAAAGTCAGGTCCCGACATTACAACTCAAAAGTCAGGTCCCGACAATTCGTTGCAGGTGACCTAGTACTTAGAAAAGTTTTCAATCATACCAAAGAGCCATGCGCTGGAAAACTAGAAACCAACTGGAAAGGTCCCTATTGGATCATCCACATGGTACGACCTGGCGTTTACAGGCTCCTGAAGGTACGAACCTGGATACCTGAAATCCGATCATGGAACGCCATGAATCTCAGGAGATACTATCATTAGATACCTAAACTCCCTGAACTACGTTAGGCTTGGTCCCTTGACTGGATACGTAGGCAACTCTGTCATGAGTGCAGCCCCAACCTCATTTCAGCATTCTTTTCATCATAGCCAAAGGGGGCAGATGTTTAAAAACACATAACCCAGACAACAACTGTATGATTGCTACAACACGATGTATTCTATAAAAGTTATCAATGAAGCAATTACATGTAAACATTTTGATTTTCCTTCAAAAAAATCCAGGTCCCTACGAACCTGGACCTAAGGTCTTAAAATCCTTCAAACAAATCCAGGTCCCTGCGAACCTGGACCTGAGGTCTTAAAATCCCTCAAACGAACTCAGGTCCCTACGAACCTGAACCTAAGGACTTAAATTCTTAGTAAATTCAGAAGTCTTGAAAACTTCAGAACGAATCCAGATTTACGTGAATCTACCCTTAATGGCCTTAAAAGCCCTTTGGAAAGAGTTTAGATCCCTAAAGATCTTAATCTAATCTCGAAGATCCAAGAACTCATTCCTAATAATCTCACGACCAATCACAATCGAAATCACTGAGACCTCTAAGGTCACCAGGTCAGCTGTTAACAAGATCCGCGATCTGATTCCGGAAAGATCACATGAATCCCATACTTAAAAAGTCACAGTACATGACTCGAGTTTACACTTCGAAGTCAAACAAATCCAGGTCCCCATGAACCTGGACCTAAGGTCTTAAAATCCTTCAAACAAATCCAGGTCCCTACGAACCTGGACCTAAGGTCTAATCCTTCAAACGAATCCAGGTCCCTACGAACCTGGACCTAAGGTCTTAAAAACCTTCAAATTGATTCAGGTCTCTGTGAACCTTAACCTAAGGTCTTAAAATCCTTCGAACGAATTCAGGTCTCCGTGAACCTAAACCTAAGGTCTTAAAATCCTTAGTAACCTTAAAGGTCTTAAAATCCTTTAAACAAGCTAATTCAGGTTTCCACAAACCTAAACCTAAGGTCTTAAAATCCTTAGTAACCTCAAAGGTCTTAAAATCCTTTAAACAAGCTAATTCAGGTTTCCACAAACCTAATCTAAGGTCTTAAAATCCTTAGTAACCACAAAGGTCTTAAAATCCTTCGAAAACAAATCCAGGTTCCCAAAGAACCTCAATCTAAGGTCTTAAAACCCTTAACAAAATTCAAGGTCTTAAAATCCTTCGAAAACAAATTCAGGTTCCTAAAGAACCTCAATCTAAGGTCTTAAAACCCTTAACAAAATTCAAGGTCTTAAAATCCTTCGAAAACAAATTCAGGTTCTTAAAGAACCTCAATCTAAGGTCTTAAAACCCTTATCAAAACTCAAGGTCTTAAAATCCTTCGAATACAAATCCAGGTTCCCAAAGAACTTCAATCAAAGGTCTTAAAACCTTAACCAAACTCAAGGTCTTAAAATCCTTCAAAAAAAAAAAAAAAAAAAAAAACCAGGTTCCCAAAAACCTCAACTTAAGGTCGCAAAACCCTTAACAGCGTTAGAGATCTAAAAGATATCCCAAGTAAATTCAGGTCCTAGAAACCCATTCTCGGGACCTCTCGCTAAAAGGCTACGGGACCTGTTATAAACAGGCTCCCCGACCTTCATCCGAAAGTTTCCTAGACCTCGTGTCTAACGACTACGGGACCTGTTACTAACAGGACCCAGAATCCTTCGTTCAAGGAAGTAAAAACTTTTACTTAGACGATCGAGTCCGTATTAAGGAATTCATCAAAACATCAACGAAGATCAAAGATCCTAACAAAGCAAAAGTTTAAAGGCCTCATCAGGCCACAAGTCTTAACAAAGATAAAAAGAAAGCCCATTGGGCAGAAGTCTTGGGAACACAAAGACATAATCGCTATCTCAACAAAGAGATAGAGATCAGGCGGTTGAGCTTTAGCTTCTGAGAAAAGAGGTCTCATCTCGAAAGCTGGGGGCAACTGTTGGGCCCAAATATGGCCCGCTAGCTGAGACTAATGGGCTCGAGTGATAAGAGTTGACTATGGGCCACTGTAAGCCCATTGGCAATTAATCTTTTGAGAAAAGAGTTAAAAAGAAGCCGGAGGCTGTTTTTGCTAAGGAAGGAACGTCAACAAAACAGGTCACGGAGGAGAGCTCCGGACCTCATTTTCAAGGAGCTAACAGGAGTAGCTCAGGTTGGTTGCACAGGACCCGGTCAAAAGGAGACTGTTGAGAATCCCCCAACTCACGGAGCAAATCTCGGAGGCTGGTTAGGATCGTTCAAACGTGGCTGAGAGCTATTTAAAGAGGAGGAGGAGATCAGAGAAAGGGGCTCTCTCTCCATTCATTCATTCTATCATTTACACATGTTTAGTTCACAAAACGTTCTCATAATTCTTTGTAATCATCAGAATCATCTTACTAATCATCTGTAATCATCTCTTTACCAAAAACATCAATACAATCACATTCTTTCTTCAAGTTCTTACAGGATTCAGCCCACGCTTACCTTGTCTCCAATCTAAACCTAACCTAAACTAGGAAGTGAGTTTTATCCCTCACATCAGTAGACTCCACAAAAAGTTAAGGATTCGATCCTTAAAATCTCTAATAAGGATTGTTTCTTATCGAATCCTTACACTATTTACGGGTCCCCAAGACACGTGGCAGCCCGTGAATAATCATTTTTTCTTTTTTTTAAAAAAAAAAAATCTGAAATATCCTTATTAAATCTAAAATACTCTTTTTCTTAAGGACTTCTATAAGTCTTACGGTTGCGGATGCTCTAAGGTGTGTTTGAATAATCAAATTTCAGATGAAAAAAAAACAAAAAAATACACTTGTAACTCAAAATATTTGATTAAATCGTACAGAACCAAAAAAAAACAGAATATTTAATCGAAATCATATTTTCTTTTATTGGCATCACACGTTCACAAGACGACATAGAACAAGTCTCCAAGACACACATCATCCATTCATTCATTGATTCATACAATCCAAGAGAGAGTCTTCCGGATCTCCGACCCGATCTGACCGACACTCTCCCTAAGCGACACCGGACAGTTATTCCTTACAGCAGTGAGCTCGTAAGGCGACGTATCAGTCGCAAGCCATTGCTCAACTTCAAAGCTTTGCTGAGAGCACGTAGCGTGAACTCCTGCCGTCGTGACCTCCACGTAGTTAACATACCAACCGTGGTGGTCACCAGAGCCGTCGGAGGTGATATTCAACGAACAAACTGGGCTCGGGAGACAAGGCGCTCTCCCACTGAAAATGTCGAGATTGCCCCTCTCGAAGTAGTTATAACCTGGTCCCATTAGCCCACCCCATGCCTCTAGGTTTCGGATCCCTATGTAGTCTCCGTACTTGTCGTAGATCCTAGCGCTTATGATCGACTCGGTGCCGGCTTTCCAAATGGATCCGGTTCGGATGTAGAATGTGTAGACACAATCTGGTTCATCGTCCTGAAACAAGAAAATTATATAAATGTTTTCGTTAAATTCAAGAAAATGATTTTTTTTTTTTTTGGTTATATTCAAGAAACTAACTAGTGATCCTGTGGTTACAAGATCAAGATTCAAATATGGGAATATGCGTGTGGAGTTGTAGAGCAAAGTATATAGGAGGGTAGACATGTTAGTGCTGAGATAAGATTAAGGGAGCTTACGGCTGATGTGATAGAGGAGACGGTGGCGAGTATAAGGAGGACAGAGAGGAAGAAAGCGTCACGGCGAGGCATCATTGGAGATATGAATGTAAGAACTAGAGAGAGTTCCGATCTGTCCGACTATTAATAGATTTGACTTGGTGTTTCAAGAAAAATGGTAGTTATCGCCTGGTTGTTGGAGTAGCATGTGTGTTTGACGTGGCTAGTGTGGTCCGTGTGATGAGTATTTTAAAGGATCGTAGAAACACGTCGTTAACTCGGCCGAGAGGTCGGCATGAGCTGTCGGATTACTAAACCACTCCTTAAGAATTCTTAATTTTGCATTTCTTTTTTTTTGGGGGGGGGGGGTCAAATATACTTCTTCCAACACGTTTCACATGAGCACAACTATTTTTTGTGCTTTTTACAAAAAAAAATGGCAGTATAGAACTGTTGGCAATATAAAGATAATATTTCATTTGATACGTTTTCACGTAATATCAATCCATCACCACACCAATTTTTATATAAAAGTATCATTATAAAAAATTATATTTAAATTACTATTTAAAAAATCTAACTAATCAAAAATAGAAGAATGTTGTATCTTTGTCTGAAGAATATAGAGAAGACAAAAAAAAAAGTATTTAAAAAATAAAAAAATAGATAAATTACTATAGGTTCTTTCTATAATAATATTTAATGTCATGGATATAGATGGTTTAATGATACTCTGAAGCATTCCATTTTTATGATGAAATATCATTCTATTCAGGGAAATTACATTCAGTATACAACAAACAAGTTATAAATTATAATTAACTATCTAACCAAAAACAATTTGACCACAATATTCAATGTATTTTCTATAATATATTCCAAAATACCCTTTGCAAATAACCGGATCATCTCTTTCTATTTGTTTTCTTTTTCTTTCTTTCTTTCTCTTTGTTTTCCTCTTCTTTCTGAACTCTGTTTTTCTGTTTTTTTGTTTTGATATCAACGAAACATAAATCATATGTTACTATGCTACAATTAAATCTGCTTATAAAATCAGCACCACAATCCCACCGATTGTCTCAGCTCTCTGCTTCTTATGTTTCCTAATTTCCATCGAAATAAAACATCGATTACGCAAGCCTAGGATTCTCGACTTCTCGTATTGTCTTCCATGTTCTTTTTATGTTTAAACATTTTTAAGCTTTTAAGTCTATTCTATTATTCTTAGCTATATAGTGTAGTATGATATTATAAAATATTATTCAAATGTTAATTTCATTTGAATATTGTAAGGATACATTATAGGGAAATTGCTAAAACTAGCACATTCATGATAAACTATTTCACTTTTACATTAATTATCTTTACCTTTAAAATTTTGATAGTCACAAGACCATAGTACCCTTAATTAATTTTGTAGAAAATATATAGTTTAGAATTTAGGGTTAAGAATTTAGAATTTAGGGCTAAGAATTTAGGGTTCATAGTTTAGGGTTTAGAATTAGGGTTTAGGATTTATAATTTAGGGTTTAGGGTTTAGAATTTAGGGTATAGAATTTAGGGTTTAGGGTATAGAATTTAAGGTTTAGGGTTTAGAGTATAGGGTTTAGGGTTTAGAGTTTAGAATTTAGGGTTCAGAGTTTAGGGTTAAGAGTTTAGGGTTTAGGGTTTAGGGTTGATTTTTAGGGTTTAGAGTTTAAATTTCGAAATAGTATAATTAAAAAATATTTATATATATATATATATATTTTTTTTTGTGTGTTTTTATTTATTTAAATATTTATTTTATATATATATATAAAGAATAAGGGTATACGAGTCTTTTATCCTTTAATGAAAGTGTATTTTTGAAAATGTCCCCCTTCTTAAGGTAAATGTGAATTAGTGTATCAAAGCAATTCTCCAAGTCATATTCTAAGTTTGGGTTTAGTTAATCAGGGTTTAAGGTTTGGTGATTAATGTTTAGGGTTTAGTATTTGAGAAAAAAAATTAGATTAGAAAGGGATTAAATATGATTTAGTTTTTAGATTTTTGTATGACTGTTCTATTTTGTTCACCAATATGTACTATACTATGTATTTTGTTTCATTGTATTTGAGTTTATGGTCTATTCTTGGGTTTATGGTTTAGTGATTAAGATTTAGGTTTTAGTTTTTATTTGGAAGGTGGGGGTTGAGGTTTGGGTTTAGTAACCCTATCATGTATTATTACATTTGACGATTAACAAAGAATATTCTATTTGTTCACCAATATGTACTATACTATATATTGTGTTCCATTATATTTAGGTTTAAGATTTAATGATTAGGATTTATGACTTAATATTAAGGATTAGGGTGGGTTGGGATAAGGTTTAATTTTTAGATTTATAAGTTGAGATAGAGTTGGTATTATATACTATTTTGGTGATATGGAATAGAACGTGTGGAAATTTTGTGATTATTGTGTAAACGACGTGACTCACTTCTCTTTCCCAAGAAGTCAACAGTTCTGATTTAATTCTGGCCATACCTCCTCTCGCCTGTATATACTAGTAACTGGGAACTTGGTCTACGAAATGGCATAACTGGATCTTTATTGGGTTAAATGTTAGCGAATGAATTATTTCAAAATCACCGCCATATTCTTAGTTTCCATTAGTGATTTGTATATTGAGAAAAATTCTCCTTTCTATTAATCAAACTATTAATCAAAATTAAAATTATCACAATAACTAGACCGGAATATAATAACCAATAAATTAAATATCCTTACCAAAAAATATTGTGTTGTAGCAAAATGATCATCAGTTCAACTAGACTATGATTAACCCCACCTCTTAAGAGGTGGGTCCCACCATTTGCATAAAAACCAACTCCTCCTTCTCATCTGCAAGAGTCAATTTTTCTTGGGTTCTTATCTTGTTTGCAAGACCCACTAACACATGGTAGTCCGCGATTATTTCGTTTTTAATTTTTTTTGTTTAAAAGAAAAATCAGATTAAAAGAAAATTAAGAGCCCCTAATGGGCTCTTAGGATTAATCATGTTCTTATGTCTCCTATGGGAAGCATCTATATTATTAAAATAAAAGTACAAATAAGAATTATCCCTTCAACTTACAAATTGTTTACAACTCTTTGCCACTGAATAATAAATACTCCTTAAGATTAAGCATTTATTGTATTTTCCTAATTTATAATTAATTTCTTAAATCTAATATAAAACAAATTCATTTAAATTCTAATACATTCATTTTTGACACTTAATCATAAACCTTAATAAATAAGCATGCATACATTATAAATATCAATTACAATAATCATTATTTGTGTGTTAGCACGGAAGCATGCATCAAAGAACAATTATTAAATTTATATTAATTGGAAAGGTGGTTAAAACTTATAAAGAAATATATGTAAAAAATGATATGTATGTTTTTGGATTCGCCACACTATAATTTATGTGATTACTAACATTATGCTAAGATTTTTAAAAAAAACAAAATTATGTAAAATTAGAATAAAATATTGGTTTAAATTTGTGTGAATATAATATAATAAATATATAATAAGAAATATGAATGATACAGTTGACGATTAAAAAATAAAATAAAAATATTAAATATAAGCTATATAGTTATATGTTTAGTAATGTCATATTAAATAATTAGTCACGGGTCAAACTCTACCACTAGAAAATTAATATACAATGTCCTTTGATATAGTTAGTTAAAGAATTAAACTGAATTTATTGTGCATTGATTTGTTTTATATCATACTCAGTGTCAACAATACAAAAGAAGGTTAAAACATAAAATACAAATATTTAATATTTGTTTTTTATATTAAAAATATATAATAAACTTAAATTTACAAATATATATTATATTATTTAATACCAACAAAAAATTAAAGTAAATAAATACCCGTACAGACGCACAAATCAAGCTCTACTTTCATTTAAAGAACAAAATTTCCTTAATATTACGTACATTAATTGATTTGATCCTTTTTTTTTTTTTTGAAATGCCTCAATTATTTCAGTATAAATGTTCAGGATTGGGAGATTTTCTTAACGAGCATGAGACTAGAGATAGAATAAATATCAAAGCATAGTAAATCTGTTGTAAAAAGGTGATGATTAATTAACTACTCTCAAATTTGGTTGCGACAATAATCGATCTCGTTTATAACGTCTTCTTTAATTACCAATAACCACATCAAACTGTATTATAGTTTATAATAACAGAAAGAGAATAACTGAAGGTGAGTTAGCTAATTTTAAATAGCAAAATATTTTCCAAACCAACCACAAGTTTGAGTAATGCAACAAAAACCACTTACTTTTCTCATGCAAACCCTAATTTTCGCATCCTCTCACAATTCTTTCTCGTGCTCCCTCTAAGCCAATCTCCACCACACATTCTGTAAGTCCCACCTTTCTCCGATGGAGGGGCCACGGCTTCCTCCTTCCGGCACCTTCCATGAATCGGACGATGACAAATCCGACGATCCCCCTTCCGCCTGGCACCGTCCAACCTCGAGTCTCTCGGCATTGCCCTCTCAAGATCCTCCACCACACCATTGGCGTAATCATTCTCTAAATCTCTCTCCAATCCTGGACACACCTTCCCGGTCTCTCCCTCCTCCCCATTCAATCCCTGAGCTAGAGACTTACGTTGTCCAGGTACCGAGAGATCAAGTCTATTGGACTCCTCCTCCTGAGCATGCAAAATACGTCGAGAAACTCCGTAATAACCCGGACAAAAACAAAAAGAATGGCTGTTCTAAACGTCTTATGTGGTTCTTTATCATCTTGATCGTTTTTGGGTTCATCCTTGGTGCAATCACCCTTATCCTTCATCTCGTTTTCAGCCCCACTCTTCCAGTTTTCGCAGTGGAGAGATTAACTGTAAAACCTAGTTATTTCGAGGTCACGTTAAGAGCTGAGAATCCAACGTCTAACATGGGGGTAAGCTATATGATGAAAAATAACGGTGTGGTTTCGTTGACCTACAAGAACAAGAACATAGGACGCGGGAAATTCCCAAAGATTTCCCTAGCCGCGTCTGGATCCGACAACGTCAATGTAAAGCTCAATGGGTCGACCAAGAACGCCGTTATGCCACCTAGGGGAACGAAACAACCGGTGAGTTTGGTGCTGATTATGGAGCTAAAGGCGGATTATGAAGCAGGACCAGTGAAAAAGAACAAAGAATTGGTGGTGACTTGCGATGTTAAGGTTAAGGGATTGTTAGATGCCAAGAAGGTCGAGATTGTGTCGGAGAATTGTGAGAGTGAGTTCAAGAACTGACAGTCTATATTATATAAGGTGATTGTGTCGTTAGAGTTACAGTGTGATTTAATTATTTATACTTATGATGCAATGTTCAATTGTTTATTTTTTACTTATTCTCCAAATGTCTTTGTTTTTACACTATTGTTGAGCGACAAAAGAAAACCTGAACAAGGACACAATAGACAGAGCTTCTTGTTTCTTTTATAATGCATCCTTATTTTGGAGACTACATGTAAAATTAGATTAATTAGATCTTATGGTCAGTCAACTTTTGACATCGTCTGCTTATATTCAGAAGAAACAAAGTGTTTTTTCTTCTTTAGACCACCCGGAGGTGTTGAAAAGAAAATTCAACTGTGAATACTCAACAATGAGGTTGTTAACATTTTATAGAACACTTAGCAACCACATTGATGAAACCTCCCTTGGGGGTTCACACAAATAAAAAAATAAAAAAAATTTCGTTTACTTTAAAAAAAAAAATTAATAATGGACCAATCACTAACTGACACGTGGTGAACCCGGAGTCATCGGGGTTCACCGCAGTGAACTTTTGAGAGATGGGTTCATAGAAATCTGATTTTAATATTTTTTTTTTGGTTTGCGTGTGAACTCCCCCCATCATCCCTTGATGGGGGTGCTCTTAGGTGGTTTTAAAGGTGTTTTAAAATTTCAACCCATCTTCTATACTAAAACATAAGTCACACCTTTGATTCATGTGTGATTTTTTTTAAAAAAAATCGAATTCCTTTTAGAGAATTGGTTACATCAATATTTGTATTTGCATCTTAACAATATTTCAATTCCCTTATTTATTCCCATCCAAAAATTTAGGAAGTGTTTTCTTTATTTATTCACTTTGGTAATCAAATTATAACTAACCATTATACTTTACATCTACGTATCTTATATATTAAAACATAAATCATGACTTCACTTCATGTGTATATTTTTTAAATGGACCTTTCTTAGGAAATCATATTTCCTTTTATTCTCATTAACATGTTGGTATAATTAAAATATCACATCTTATATAATTAACACATATAACAAATTCACCTATAAAATTGTTTTATTTTTATTTTTAACTATATATATCCTGTTGAAAGAATCCAACAAAATCTTACAAAATAATTTAAATATATTTTTTTGTCAGAAATATAATTATATAATAATGCATTAATTAATTTTGTAATTAGTACTATAGTTTTGTTCAAATCAATGTTAATTACTTTATTATAAAAAATAGGATATTTTCATAAACTTTCTAATTGTAGTATATATTTTACTAAATAAAAGTACTATATGAATTATTTATTAAAAATTATATACATTAACTTATTTTATTTTTCAAAAATCTTTCATTATAAATATGATTCATCATTAAAAGGAGTTTAACATAAACCATGTATAACATTTACTAAAATAAAAAGTCTAAACTATTTGAATATAATAATATATTTATTTATAAAATCGTTCTATATACTAAAATTGAAGATGATAAATTATATATTTTAAACACAACTAGGAAATATAAATGATCCTAAACAAGTATCTATTCTATTGTATAGCTAAATAAATTTTAAAAATATTTTAAATGCATAATGTAGAAACAAAAAAAAAATACTTTGAAGGGGGTTATCTATTTGATTATTTAATTTTTTTTGATATTTCAAATTATTAATTTATTTTACCAAATTTGAAATTATATTATTATGTAATAACAATTTATAACAAGTAAAAATGTATAAAAATATTTATTTATTAATAATGTCAAATAATAAAACAATTTGAAAGAGTGAAAAATGTAAAAATACAATAAAAATTTAAATAGGCAATTTGTTTATATATTTAAATAAATCATGTCAAGTTATTTGGAAAGAAACAATTAATAAAATATTTAATAAAAGTGAAAAAGATATAATAAATTTTTTAAAAATATATTTAGTTCTATTTTGTATTTAAGTTTTAATAATATATATATATATATCAAAACTTTTCACTATATATATATATATATATATATATGTTAATGTTTCTAAAAAATTTGTTGAACAAGATTTTACCAAGATCTTAATTTCTAAAATTCTATTTAAATATGTAATTAACATTAAAATATATACCACTAATAATGTAAAACAAATATCTATAAATATATTTATAAAAAATTAAACACTTGCGCGGTTATGCGGATCAAAATCTAGTTGATATTAAATTACATTGAATTGTAAATGGTACTTGTAAACAAGTGTCTGTAAACTTTTTTTTTTTTTAAATTGACCATCACTAGAAACCTTTATTATATAATTTTCAGATGATACTTTTGATGAAATAGAGGAAGTATATTTCTCCAATAAATATAAATAAGCTTTTCTGTAACACTATAAATAAAGCTATAATGTTCAAAAACGTAGAAAAACGATAGTTTATTTTTTTTATTGAGACATACACTTTCTCTATTTCACAAAAAGTGTCATTTGAAATATTTACATATATTAAATATCATTTTAAAGTTCTATTTTATATTTTATTATTTTATTAAATATTTTTTCTTTCTAATCTTATATATTAAAACAGAAGTCATGACCTTGATTCATGTGTGATTTTTTTTTTAAATAGACCATCACTAGAAACCTTTATTATATGTATTTCAAAATATTTGTAACAACTTTAATCATAATATCTTTTGATATTTCTTTAATTTATATATAAAAACAGAAGTCATAACCTTAATTCATGTGTATGTGTTTTTTTAAAATGGACCATTATTAGAAAACTTTATTATATGTATTTTATAAAATATAATAATAAAAATATTTGTAACTACTTTAATCATAACTAGAACTTAACTCACACATTTGTACGGGTGTTTGATTTAACTTGTGTTCAACGTTAATTCATAAACCGTTGATTTTATAAAAAAAAAATATTTTTATGTTTTATAATTTACATATAGAGTAGAATATATTATTTTATAATATAATAATAGTTTTTTATTTGTACATAATATTATATTACAAATTTTATTATTTGATACAGTTTGATGTAATTGTATTATTCATATATTAACATGTTGTTTTTGTTAAATTATTTTAAAATGAAACAACGTACTAAAAAATAAAGTTTTGTATTAGTTTTCTATAATTATCACTGAGTTTATGATAAATTGTTTTTTTGAAAATTGAACTCTAAAAATTTTATGTTTCACTAAATTAAATAAGGTAATAATATATTTAAACTTTATTTTATATAATATATATTATATATTTAAAATGTATATTATAAATTAATTTTAAATGTAATGGTATAATCTGTAAATAAAAAAGAATACAAAAAGAAAATATTTAATTTATTGTAAATGCAATGGATAAATGTCTAAATAAAAAGAAATATTTAATTTGTTATTCATGTTTTCAAACAATTCTCATTTATTCTGCTATCATCATTTCCAAACCGTACCAAAATGTAATTCAGTTTTAATAATATATATATATATATATATATATATATATATATATATATATATATATATATCTTTTCATATCTTTTTATATTAAATATAAATATATATTCAAAATTACAAAATACAGTATATTTTGAAAATATTTAACAAGATCTTAACTTTTAGAAAATTATGCAAATATTTCACTAATTTCGAAATAGTATAGAATATAATTATACATTAATACATGTATTTAGTTATCTTTTATAAAATAAAAATGCATTCTATCATTTTATCTATATTTTATAAAATCATTATGTACCATATTAAAAAAATTACTATAGTAAAATTGTATTAAATGGATAAACTAATCTATTTTATTTTCATAAATAGAAAACATTAAAAATATAATATTCTGGTAGAACATGTTAACATTAGTAATTATATAATACATGTATAAAATTAACTTATAAAATTTTATATATACAATAGTATATTATCCAAATAAACATAAAAAATACTAATTTAGTATAAATTTAATATAAAATAATTTTCAAACATGATTTTATTCATATATTAGTTTATTTAATAATCAAATGAAAATCTAAGAAAATAAATATAATGATTGAAACAATTGTTATTAACATGTAAATTATAAAATTATTGTGTTTAGAATAGTTTTATAAACATTTAGATATATAACTAACCTCACTAATCATGTATAATAAATATTTATGTATATAAAACTAAAAATAAAACCCGTGTGCGGTTGCGTATGTCAAAATCTATATAATACATTAGAACAATAAGTTAAGACTGGACTTTTATTTCAAATGCTGTGTTAAAAATATAGAATACACTTTTGTAAAACTAAATACAATTTCGTCGGAATTGTATCAGTCTGTAAGCCGTCGGAAATTCCCGACAAAATCCTGATGGATTTTTGTTTCCCGACGAAATCATACCGACGGCCGTTTTCGTCTGGATTTCATCGGAATCGTTGTTTCCTGACCGAATCCTGACGGTTTTTGTCGTTGGTATCTGACAGTTTTCTTGTAGTGTTTAATAATCAAATGAAAATCTAAGAAAATAAATATAATGATTGAAACAATTGTTATTAACATGTGAATTATAAAATTATTGAGTTTAGAATAGTTTTATAAACATTTAGATATATAACTAACGTCACTATAATAAATATTTATGTATATAAAAATAAAATCCGTGCGGTTGCGTGTGTCAAAATCTAATTAATACATTAGAACAATAAGTTAAGACTGGACTTTTATTTCAAATGTTGTGTTAAAAATATAGAATACACTCTTTGTAAAACTAAATAAATTTCAAAACAACTCATTGTGAAACCAATATATCGAGTAAGATGTTTCTCAATTTCCAAAGATTAAGGAAAATTTTAGGGACTCGACTACAACACGAAATCACATAATATTTCTCATCCCCTGTATCATTCAATTGTGCATGGTATCATTGTTATAACTGGTTCCTGGAAGGTAACTGGTACATTTCATGTATGGGCTTGTATTGCTACCAAGGAGTTTGGAGGACATTGATG